TTCTTTCTTTCTTTCTTTCTTTCTTTCTTTCTTTCTTTCTTTCTTTCTTTCTTTCTTTCTTTTTCGTTTTCTCTCTTTTTCTTTTTCTTTCTTTCTTTCTTTCTTATCCTTTCTTTCTTTCTTCTCCCTCCTCCTCCTCCTCCTCCTCCTCCTCCTCCTTCCTCTTCCTCTTCCTCTTAAAAAAAAAAAGCCCAGTTGCCTTTTGAAAAAGCAACCTTGGGAAAACCCTGACCTGGATGACTGAGAATCTCCATGGACACTAAGCAAGACAGTTGTTAAGCGAGTTTTGCTCCGTTTTACGACCTTGCTTGACACAGTTAAGTGATTCCCTGCAGTTAACTTAGCAAGACGGTTGTTAAGTGAATCCGGCTTCCCCATTGACTTTGCTTGTCAGAAGGTCACAAAAGGTGACCCCCAGGACACTGCAGCCGTCATAAGTATGAACTAGTTGTCAGACCCCCAAATTTTGATCAAGTGACTATGGGGACGCCGCAACAGACATAAGTGTGAAAAACAGTCATAAGTCACTTTTTTTTTTACAGCCGTTGTAACTTTGAATGGTCACTGAAAGAATGGTTGTAAGTCAAGGCCTGCCCGTAGTTGAAATAATTTTCTTTGTTCTTTAGCATGGTGAAGAGTGGAAGAAAGATGCCTGCACCACTTGTGTATGTGACCGAGGAAAATCCAGATGTTTTACAAAGACCTGCCCCACGCTGAATTGTCAGAAGGTAATTCCTAAGCTGAAAACTTGGAGATTTTCTGGGAATTTTCTACCGCATTTCCTAAATTTTCTAATCAGAATAGAGCTGGAAGGGTCCTTGGAGATCATTTCGTCCAATCCCCCCTGCTCAAAAAGGAGACCCCATACCAGAGGTCCCCAACCTTTTGGACACCAGGGACCGGTTACGTGGAGAGAGGTTTTTCCGCGGACTGGAGGGGACGTGGTTTTGTGTGCTGCCTGCATCTTACAGATGGGGCTTTGTTTATGCGGACCGGTTGCTGGCGTGCTGTGGCCCGGTGGTCCACAGACAGGGGGTTGGGGACCCCTGCCCTATACCCTTTGAGACAAGTGGATGTCCAGCCTCTTCTTTAACACCTCCAGTGATGAAGCACGTACAACTTCTGGTGGCAAGCTGTTCTACTGGTTAATTGTCCTCACTGTTAGGAAGTTTCTCCTTAATTCTAGGTTGCTTCTCTCCTTGATTGGTTTCTATCCATTGTTTCTTGTCTTCTGGTGCTTTGGAAAATAAGTTGACCCCCCTCTTCTTTGTAGCAGCCCTTCAAATACTGGAAGACCGCTATCATGTCCCCCCTAGTCTTTCTTTTCTCTAGACTGGCCATAGCCAAATCCTGCAATTGTTCTCCCTATGTTTTAGTCATCCAGGCATTTAATCAACTTAGTTGCTCTGCATTTTTTCCAGAGTTTCAATATCGTTTTTGTAGCGTAATGACCAAAACTGGATAGGATAGGATAGGATAGGATAGGATAGGATAGGATAGAAGGGACCTTGGAGATCTTCTAGTCCAGCCCCCTGCTCAAGTAGGAGAACCTATACCATTTCAGATAAGTGACTGTTTAGTCCAGTGGTGGCGAACCTATGGCACGGGTGCCAGAGGCGGCACTCGGAGCCCTCTCTGTGGGCACGCATGCCATTGCCCAAGCCTTGCCTCCCCCGCGACCCCCTCCTCACCACAGCCTCCCTGGAGGAGAGTCACCCCCTAGTGTGGCCGACGTGGAGCAGCGCAGCCAGGGACATGGCAGCCAGGCAGCATAGACAAGACTCTGCCCTCACGCCCCATCGTGCACAGTTGATGCTGCGGGGCGCGGGCAAGGGCGTGGCCGCCATGGTGCTGCTGGGCTGCCTGGACGATCTGGGGTGGGCCCTGGAGGCGGTGAATGGCCCTGCGGGCAGGAGGGGTGGGAGCAGAACGGGGGCGGGGCAGGGGATGGAGTGGGGGCGGGGCCAGTTTTGGGGCACTCAGTCTCTAAAAGGTTCGCCATCACTGGTCTAGTCTCTTCTTAAAAACCTCCAGTGATGGAGCATCCACAACGTCTGAAGGCAAGCTGTTCCACTGGTTGATTGTCCTCATTCTTAGGAAGTTACTCCTTAATTCTAGGTTGCTTCTCTCCTTGATCAGTTTCCAACCACTGTTTCTTGTCTTGCCTTCTCATGCTTTGGAACATAAGTTGACCCCCTCTTCTTCGTCTTCTCAGGAGGAGAACAAAGTCCGCCGCCCTGGGAAATGTTGTGAAGAGTGTGTCCTTTCCAAGGGCAGCTGTGTGCACAACGGCACCCTCAAATACCACAATGACCTGTGGAATGGTACGGACTGCAGCTTCTGTAGCTGTGATGGAGGCCAGGTGGCTTGTCGGAAGGCAAAGTGTGCCAAAGTGGACTGTGCAAAGGTAAGGAAAGGACTCCCATTTCCAAGTTATCTCTATGGTTTGCTTATTCAGAAGGTTTTTTAAGTGGCTTTTTTTTTAATTCAAGCTGCTGGAAACATCAGGGCCAGATACTGAAAGATAGTTAGTTGGTTCTCAGACGGAATAACAGAATAATGAGTTGGAAGGGACCTTGGAGGTCTTCTAGTCCAGGGGTCCCCAACGCCCGGTCCATGGATCGGTACCGGGCCACGGCATGCGAGGAACTGGTTTTCACAAACAAGCAAAGCCCCATCTGTGGGATGCAGGCAGCACACAAAACCACACACTCTCCGGTCTATGGAAAAAACTTTCTCCACGGAACCGGTCCCGGGTGCCCAAAAGATTGGGGACCTCTGTTCTAGTCCAACCTTTGCTCAAGTAAGAGACTCTATACCAGGGGTAGGCAACCTTGGCTCTTTTATAACTCATGGACTTCAACTCTCAGAATTCCTGAGCCAGCATGGCTGGCTCAGGAATTTTGGGAGTTGAAGTCCACGAGTCATAAAAGAGCCAAGGTTGCCTACCCCTGCTCTATACCTTTCCAGACAAGTCTCTGTGTTGGCTTTTTTGATACCTAGGATGCTGGCAGCAACCCGTGTCAACTATCAGCGCTAGTCAATTTGACTGTTCAGTTGACTGAGGTTCACGTCTAATGAATAATAATAATAATAATAATAAAGTTGAAAGGGACCTTGCAGGTTATTTAGTCCAACCCTCTGCTCAGGCAGGAAACCCTATACCATTTCAGACAAATGGTTGTCCAGTCTCTTCTTAAAAACTTCCAGTGTTGGAGCATTCACCACTTCTGGAGGCAGTTTGTTCCACTGGTTAATTGTTCTCACAGTCAGAAAATTTCTCCTTAGTTCTAGGTTGCTTCTCTCTTTGGTTAGTCTCCATCCGTTGCTTCTTGTCCTGCCTTCAGGTGCTTTATGGCAGACCCTGAGATACTGGAACACTGCTATCCTGTCCCCCTTCGTCCTTCTCTTCATTAAACTAGACATACCCAATTCCAGCAACCGTTCCTTATATGTTTTAGCCTCCAGTCCCCTAAGCATCTTTGTTGCTCTTCTCTGTACTCTTTCTAGAGTCTCAACATCTTTTTTACATTGCGGTGACCAAAACTGGATGCAGTATTCCAAGTGTGGCCTTACCAAGGCCTTGTAAAGTGGTATTAACACTTCACGTGATCTTGATTCTATCCCTCTGTTAATGCAGCCTAGCACTGTGTTGGCCTTTTTGGCAGCTGCAGCACACGGCTGGCTCATATTTACGTGATTGTCCACTAGGACTGCAAGATCCCTTGTTCAGAAGGAATGTTTTAAGTCTTTGATACAATCTAGAAGAAGATGTCTCCAACTCCCTGAAAACATTTAAAGTACCCCAAACCTTCCCCTTCCAATGCTGTTGTTACATCAAGGCACTGCTTTGTAAAACCTTCAATTATTAACTAATTCCTTGTTCGGGCCTGGTAGAAAAAAGCAATTTTCTGTCGGTTTGCTTGAACTCAAGCAGCCCTCTCAGGGTTTCGACACTGTTCTCTTTCACATAAAAGAGTAGCTTGTTCAAGAGAGATTGTGACCCTTTCATGCAGCAAGAGAGATCAGGACCTCTTTTTGACTTGAGCAATGAAGTCAGTACAGGAAGGTCAAATTGGAGACCTGCGATGAATTTAAGTGAACCGGGAGATCCAGGGACTGTCCAGGTAAAGAAACCGGCTCCTGTAGCATTTCTTTCTAGGCTTTTCCATTGAGATGAACCAATGCTTATAGCCTGTATCCAGTTTTGATCACTCCATTATAAAAAAATAGATGTTGAGACTTTGGAGAGGACTTAACAGAGGGATAGAATCAAGATCACATGAAGTATTAATATCACCTTACAAGGCCTTGGTAAGGCCACACTTGGAATACTGCATCCAGTTTTGGTCACCACGATGTAAAAAAGATGCTGAGACTCTAGAAAGAGTACAGAGAAGAGCAACAAATATGATGAGGGAGCTGGAGGCTAAAATATATAAGGAACGGTTGCTGGAATTGGGTATGTCTAGTTTAACGAAGAGAAGGACGAGGGGGGACAGGATAGCAGTGTTCCAATATCTCAGGGGCTGCCACAAAGAAGAGGGAGTCAAGCTATTTTCCAAAGCGCCTGAAGGCAGGACAAGAAGCAACGGGTGGAAGCTAACCAAAGAGAGAAGCAACCTAGAACTAAGGAGAAACTTCCTGACAGTTAGAACAATTAACCAGTGGAACAACCTGCCTCCAGAAGCGGTGAATGCTCCAACACTGGAGGTTTTTAAGAAGAGACTGGACAGCCATTTGTCTGAAATGGTATAGGGTTTCCTGCCTGAGCAGGGGGTTGGACTAGATGACCTCCAAGATCCCTTCCAACTTTATCATCATCATCATCATCATCATCATCATCATCATTAATTACTATTATTATTATTATTATTATTATTATTATTATTATTATTATTATTATTATTATTATTATTATTATTATTATTATTATTATTATTATTATTATTATTACTGGGCTAAGAAGAGCAGCAAAGATGATTAGGGGACTGGAAGCTAAAACATATGAAGAACGGTTAGAGGAACTGGACCTGGCTAGTCTAGTGAAAAGAAGGATTGAGGTGACATGATAGCCGTATTCCAATATCTGAGGGGCTGCCACAAAGAAGAGGGGGTCAATCTATCTTCCAAATCCAAACCACTCAAAGGCAGGACAAGAAGCAACGGATGGAAACTCATCAAGGAGAGAAGCAACCTATCGCTAAGGAGAAATTTCCTGACAGTGAAAGCAATCAGCAAACGGAATGACTTGCCTTCCGAAGTTTTGGGTCCTCCATCACTGGAGGCTTTTAAGAAGAGACTGAACAATGACTTGTCAGAAACGATATAGGGTCTCCTGCTTGAGCAGGGGTTGGACTGGATGACCTCCAAGATCCCTTCCAACTCCGTTCTGTTCTGTTCTCTTGTCCTAACCCTTTGTGGAAGTCTGGATTGTGTAAGATGAGGAATTGGGGAAATCTGAGAAACTAGTTAATCTACGAAGACGTGTGTGTGGCAAAATGAAATCGTGTAAGGCTAAGACTTGAGTCCCTTACTCAGATTCTATTGTATAACTTCCAAACTGCATAGCACAGTCAGAGAAGTGAGAGGTACAGACATTTAAAAAAAAAATTAAAAAAAAATTGCTGTGGGGGTTACTGTTCCTTCTAATTAGACCTGGATTCTTATCAGATCCATGCCAGATGTACATGCTGAAAGCAGATCTCGTACCTTTATGGAAGGTTCATGGTGAGGTTGTGCGAATCAAAGATATAGGTGCTGTCAGTTTAGCACCCTACAGCAGGAGTCCCCAACCCCCGGTCCGTGGGCCAGTACCGGGCCGCGGCATGCCAGCAACCGGTCCGCACAATAAGCAAAGCCCCATCCATGGGATGCAGGTAGCACACAAAACCACAGCCCCTCCAGTCCACAGAAAAACTCTCTCCACGGAACTGGTCCCTGGTGCCCAAAAGGTTGGGGACCTCTGCCCTACAGTATTCCATGGAAAGATATTGTCCTGTGTAAAAGAGGCAGAGAAGCAAACCGCAACCTCCAGCAGATACAATTCAATTTATGAAACTGGATTCTCCACTTTCTCCCATGAGTTGATTTGGGGCATTTTTTTAAAAGTTTTTTATTTATAATACAGTTAAAAAAGAAAACATTGGACATGACGTAACATTCCAGTATAAACATTTCTATCAAATTATTTCTCTTCTTCCGTTTAGTTCTTTATCTCTATAAATACGTATGAGTTTTTTTTATACAATACTTAATTCATTTCTCTATTTGCTAACCTAAGATTATATACATTTCCATATTAATGCTAATCTATATCCCCAACAGTCCTCCTCGACTCCCACCAATAGTAAAATTTATCCCAGATTTCAAAGTATTCAGATCCACTTTTATCCTTCAGTTCCATCGTAAGCCTATCCATTTCAGCACAAGATAGTATTTTGTATAGTATTTCTTCCTCTGTGGGAGTTTCTTTGTTCTTCCATTTTTGTATGAACGCCAATCTGGCAGCTGTCAAGATGTGCAACATCAAATAAACTATCCCCTTGTCATATCCCCTTCCTGACAGTTAGAACAATTAACCAGTGGAACAACCTGCCTCCAGAAGTGGTGAATGCTCCAACACTGGAAGTTTTTAAGAAGAAACCGGACAGCCATTTGTCTGAAATGGTATAGGGTTTCCTGCCTGAGCAGGGGGTTGGACTAGATGACCTCCAAGGTCCCTTCCAACTTTACTACTACTACTACTACTACTACTACTACTACTATTATTATTATTATTATTATTATTATTATTATTATTATTATTATTATTATTATTATTATTATTATTATTATTATTATTTCTCTGTGGTTATGCCCAATAAAAAAAGTTCAGGTTTTAACTCTTTATCTCCAACATTAATATTTCTTTCAACCATTTTCTTATCTTATTCCAATAATCACAAGCTTTAGGACATTCCCACCACATATGATAATAGGTCCCTATTGCTATTTTGCATTTCCAACATATGGGTGAGAGATTTGGGCCCATTTTGGCTAACCTTGTGGGTGGGAAATGCCGACCTAGTGGCATTTCAAGGAGAGTTTGAGTGTGCAGCCTTTATACAGCCAGGATGATACTTATCTTTTTGGAAGGGGACTTAGTGATGGAATGAGGCTGATAAAAACAGGCTTTTAAAGGCTGTGTTCCAAGGGGAAAATTCTCTCGGTATCATTAAAAAAAAAAGAAGCTGATTCTAGGTATCTTGTTGTAATGTTCAATTTCTCTGCAGGGTGAAGAATTATTTCATTTACAAGGCAAGTGCTGCCCTGAATGCATCTCGAGAGGGGGTTCCTGTGTTTACAAGGAATATACCAAAGATGTAAGTAGCTTGCAGATTTAACACACGTAAGAGTTGCCAAGGTAGACGCTGGCTAGAAAAATATTCGGTAACATGAAAGCATGAAGTACATGTTGATCAGTGGACACCAATATCTTGCAAATGTAGACATTTCTACTACAAGGTTGTAGTTTGTGCACAAGTAGGCAACTCCTCAACTCCTCAACCTTCAAAGATTTTTGACTTTTATTAGCTCCAGTCAGCAAGTCCAAAGAAAATTCAGGCTGAGTATCGTGGAAATGTTAATATATTTTGAAGCATTGGATTAAGGAATATTAAAGTTGTTGTTAGTTGCGAAGCCGTGTCTGACCCATTGTGACCCCATGGGCAACGTTCCTCCAGGCCTTCCTGTCCTCTACCATCTTCTGGAGTCCATTTAAGCTCACGCCTGCTGCTTCCGTGACTCCATCTAGCCACCTCATTCTCTGTCGTCCCCTTCTTCTCTTGCCCTCAATCTTTCCCAGCATTAGGCCCTTCTCCAGTGAGTCCTTCCTTCTCATTAGGTGGCCAAAGTATTTGAGTTTCAGCTTCAGGATCTGGCCTTCTAAAGAGCAGTCGGGGTTGATCTCCTCTAGGAGTGACCGGTTTGATCGTCTTGCAGTCCAGGGGACTCGCAGGATATCCCATGGTCATTTATTGCATCCTTCTGTCCAAAGCCAGACTATCCCACCTGATTGACTATCTATAGGTACTCCTCGACCTACGACCACAATTGAGCCCAAAATTTCCCTTGCTAAGCAAGACAGCTGCTAAGTGAGTTTTGCCCCATTTTACAACCTTGCCACAGTTGTTAAGTGAATCACTGCAGCTGCTAAGTGAGTAACACAGTTGTTAAGTGAATCTGGCTTTCCCCATTGACTTTGTTTGTCAGAAGGCCGCAAAAGGGCGTCATGTGACAGACAGCCCCTGACGCCACAACCATCATAAATATGAACCGGTTGCCAAGTGTCCAAATTTTGATCATGTGGACCATGGGGATGCTGCAACGGTCATAAGTGTGAAAAACAGTCACTTTTTTTCACTGTCGTAATTTTGAACAGACACTAAACAAATGGCTGTAATTCAAGGACTAGCTGTATTTAATCTTCTCCAAGGCACAGGCATCACAGTCTTAAGAGATATTTGAAAAATTTTCTCTCAATTGCTGGTTTGATTGAGTAGGCTTATACTGCTCAATAATCTTTTGCAGGACCTCTCTATCTCAATTAATTTGCTACCTTATAATAATTTGGAACCGATGAATAATGATGGTAGCAGCTGCATTGGTACAACTGAATGCCTACGAACAGTGCAATCGATACAAGCACACACGGAGAATCAATTTTGTCTAAATTATAACATTCCCGCCTGCAGTTTCCTTTTCAACCTTAACAGATGAGGGCAACTTAGCTATCTGTCACTTGGATGTATGTTTTTAGAATCTGGAGATTTGCAGACCGATGTAATCGTAGGGCCAAGCCAGTTTCATCCCTAAGTATGAACACTCTGTTCGGAGAAGCACAGACGTTGCCGTTTTTGTGATGCGGTGCTATTCTACAAATCCTGTGCTAGCAGCATGAAGCAGGCAGCTTCTGCTTCTCCAGGAGAGCAAGGAAATAATTTTAACTCTGCGGGACTTACTGGCCTAGGAGGGGCAAGCCCACAAATCTACAAAGGTGGTTAGTTTCATTCTGTAAAATCTGCTCTCCACAACCCTGTATTCTGCTGAGTTTCGCTTTCAGTGCTTTTTCTGCAGAGCCCAGAACAAGAAAATATCCTTTGAAGTGTAAACGATGCAGATTGAGTGGGCTGAAAATATTGAATTTCCTAACTTGATTGGGCCTTGTTCGGTGTTTTTGGTTCAGGTGGTGATGCAAAAAAGAACTCCCAAGCTGCGTGCACACAGCATGCAGATAGTCCTCAACTTGCAATAATTGGTTTAGGGATCGTTCGAAGTTACAATGGCACTGAAAAAAGTGCCTTATGAACATTTTCTCACACTTAGGACCTTTGCCACGTCCCCATAGTCAGATGATCAAAATTCAGACACTTGGCAACTGACTCGTACTTAACGACGGTTGCAGTATTCTGGGATCATGTGATCTCATTTTGTGACTTTCTGATGAGCAAAGTCAATGGGGGAAGCCAGATTCACTTAACAACTGTGTTACTAACCTAAGAACTGTGGTGATTGACTGAACAACTGTGGCACGAAAAGTCGTAAAATGGGGTAACGCTCACTTAACAAATGTCTCACTTTGCAACAGAAAATTTGGACTCCGTAGCGGTCGTAAATCGAGGACTGCCTGTAGATAACTGTTGGTGCAGCCTAGGTCTGCATTGAAAAATAGATCAATTTAAGCTAAGCATATTGGGTGAGTGCAGCCAAAGAAAACTGAATGGCGTGTTGATGCTCATCGCTCCAAGACTGCCCTGGCCAAAGTATGTGACTCTTTAAGTTGCATAGATTTGACAACAACTTCACCCTAACACTGATGATGTTACCTAGTTTGGTAATGAAATGTCTGCAAGGAAACAACCAAGCTCAGACAGCACCAAGGACCCCACAGTTCAACTCTGTGATACAAATATTCTTTTTTGTTGTTTCTTCCCATGTAGTTAACTCTCACATCAATAGCTGTCAATCATTGGCTGATTGTCCTTTAGGAGATAGAATGAGTTCTCTAGAACAAGGTCCCCAACCCCCAGTCTGTGGACCGGTACTGGGCCGTGGCATGCCAGCAACCGGTCCGTACAAACAAGCAAAGCCTCATCTATGGGATGCAGGCAACACACAAAACCATGCACTCTCCGGTCCGTTGAAAAACCTTTCTCCACAGAACCAGTCCTTGGTGCCCAAAAGGTTGGGGACCTCTGCTCTAGAAGCTCTTACAAAAATTTCTGAAAGTTGCTGAGACAACAGAGTTTTTTTTTTTTTTTAGTTTCTAGTAGCCAGTATTTGCCATCGTAATCTGTCCAAGTCCTGACACATTGTGTTGTGCACGCTGCCATTCTTTGTAGATAGCCGTGACCTTGCTTTTCGAAGAGGTTCCACAGCTATAAAAGGCCTCTCTTGAGGTCTTTGGGTTGAGCTTGGGAACAGGAGAAGCTTAATGGATGGAGACACTCTGGAAATATAGCAATTTTCCTTGCGGTAGTTCAAACCTCACATTAGGCAGAAGGAAGTTAGCTTGTCAGTGCTGAGAATAATTGTGTCGTGTTCTTGAATGGGTCTGTGACGGCTCAGCGGTGAAAGACGCTGAGCTTGTCAGCTGGGAAGCTGACAGCCCGGGTTGGAGTCCCGAGCACTGTGCAGTCGGTTGAGCTCCTGTTCTTGCCTCAGCTCCTGCCGTTCGAAAGCCTGCAAATGCGAGTAGATAAATAGGTACCACTTCAGTGGGAAGGTAACAACGTTCCATCTCCAATCTACAACACAGTCCTTTCAACAGTTCCAAGAAGGCCCCACACCCATTTGCACCACTCAGGTGACCCTGAGGACACAGATAAACCTCCAAGTGGCTTCAACAACTCTCTCAAAGAATGCAAATGACCAGCTGTCTGCAAGGAGTATAAATCCTTCCATTCCCCACCATCCAGTCAGAGCTGAAGAAGCTTCTTGGATGAGAAGCGAAACGTCTTCAAAGAAAAAACAAGAAAGTCCAATTGCCTCCTGAAAAAGCATCTTTGGGACGTTGGCTGGCTAAATTTTTGTGTTCGTATGATTTACTGTCCTTCCTGAAAGAGAAGGCTGGGATGTGAGGCATCGCCAGCCCGAGTTTGCAGTTATTTATCTCTGCTTAAGCCCCACTTAGCTCAGTGAAACCTACTCCCATTAAGGTATGTAATCAGTTGCACAACTGTCTCTCCAACCCAAAGCCCCGTAATTACTGTTTCAACGGCTTTCAGAAGTACTCCTGGCCTTCTGCAAGTGGATGCTGTAAATGTGTTTACTCGTTGCAGTTCAGCTGTTGAAAGAGAACTCTAAACACAGAGCAAATGTAGCATGATGGCTTCACGAATGGGGCTTTTTTGTTTTAAAAAAAACCCCGTTATTTAAATAGTTTATCCGTCAAACTTCATAATAAAGAACAAAGCATGCTTAGGCATGTGCGTGTGCATGCAAGTGCAGACACACCCATCTGTAAAAGCAACAGCATACAAATTTCTGTTACAGATTGGTGAAATATGTAATTTCAGATCCAAAATCAGCCAGGACGTTGGGCCAGCTGTCATTTCTCAGCATGATCTTCTTTGCAGGGTGGTTGTGAGGAACTTTAAAAAAATAAGAAGATGAAAAAGTGAAGATCTATGCTGCTTCTTGCTGCTCAGAAGGCTGAATAATAGTTTAATAATAATAATAATAATAATAATAATAATAATAATAATAATAATAATAATAATAATAATAATAATAAAGTTGGAAGGGACCTTGGAGGTCATCGAGTCCAACCCCCTGCCCAGGCAGGAACCCTACACCATTTCAGACAAACGGCTGTCCAGTCTCTTCTTAAAAACTTCCAGTGTTGGAGCATTCACCACTTCT